TGTTGGCCGGTCGGCACTATATTTGGTCGACCGGCCATTGTGTTGGTCGATCGGCCATTTTTGCTGGCCGAACCCTATTCATCTGCTTTATGCAGATATTTCGTGCCAGCAGCTGGCACCCATTATTCACCCCCATACACGTGTATGGAGGGATTTGCCTCTTGTTTAGCTTCTCTTGGAAGCTTGAGGATTTAGGCCTCTATAAAGAGGGAGCTCCTCCTCCCTCCTCCAAGGTTCAGAAAATTGGTTCTTGAGAGGATAGATATAGTGTTGTATCTATTTTACTTAGTTTGGTCTTGTTTTGTGACCTAAAGTGAGTTTTGTCTTCCTTTTGCACTAGAACACCTAACATTCCACCATCCTTGGGTTGTTGAGGCCTTAGAAGGTTGTTGTTAGGGTTCTTAGACTGGTTTTGACTATAGAAAGGTGCTGGAGCTTTGTTTCTAAAGAATGTCTACAAGAGTGAGCATCCTTACTTTAGTTACTCATTTCTTGCTTAGGCTTTTAGCCATTCTTGCATGCTGTTTTAAGCTTCGACTATAACTGATAAAAGTTCTGATTTTGTGTGCTTTAGAACTTTGTTTAAAGTCATTTTGAGGTTTGGGGTTGTTCCCCCCTCTCTAAGGCCTTGTTAGGCCTTGTTTTAGGCCATACATTTTGGCCATTGTTTTGGTCTTTGCATGACCTCTCTACCACTGAAATCCAGAGGATTTTCAATGGTGGAGAGGTGGTTTTGAGGTCCTAAAAAGGAGAGGGTCATCCCCTCTCCTTGTTGTCTTTAATGCTTGCATAAATGGCTTATGTGGTAGCATATGTGTTTAGTTTGTTTTAACTCCATTTCAGTATGTATTAGGCTTTGTTTTGCCATGATACACCTCTGTTTTGAGTTGGTTTAGACATGCCATGTATGCTTCATACACTTGTCTTGTAATCCCATGATTTGGCCTTAACATGCATCATGTTGTAACATGTGTTTTTAGTATTCGACAGCCATGTAGGATGTGTCACTTCCCGAATTGCCCTGGTATCAAGTAACCGGTCAACTTCTTCAACAACAGCAGCAGTGTGTTCTGTGGCTGACCGCTGACTTTTCTGAATAATCAGCTTACATTTGGGGTCAACATTTAAACGGTGCTGAGAAACAGATGGATCCACCCCCAGCATCTCATATGGTGAACATGCAAATACATCAAGGTTGTCGAGTAAGAAGGAAATTAGTTGCTGTCTGTCGACTTTATTCAGGGAAACATCAACCATAAAGAACCTGTCAGGATTCCTGTCAATTTCAACTTGATCCGGGGCTTCGGTTGCCTTTTTACTTGGGAGCCACCCAACATCGTCGAGGCTCTCTCGATCCAGCACCTCAATAGAATTCACTTCTAGCTCTCTTGGTGTCTTTACGGCGAGAAGATAACACGCTTCTACCGATTTCTAGGAACCACGAATTTGTTCAATGTCGCGTTCAATCGAGAAGCGAAGTAATTGATGATAGGTGCTTGGCGCGGCCTGCATGGTATGCAGCCAAGTTCATCCCATGATGAGATTATACGGCGAAGGAAGCTTGACAACCAAAAATTTCACATCTACTGATCTGGAGTCCGCTCGAATTGGTAGCGTGATTTTGCCCAACAGATATTTCGGATTAGCGTTGAAGCCAAATAATGGATAATGAGCTAGAGATAGGTCCGACTCAGTGAAGTTGAGTTTGATGAAGGTCTTGTAGTACATAACTTCCAAAGTACTCCCTTAGTCAATGAGAACATGCTCAATGGTGAATCGATTTACGCGTAGTTCGATGACCAAGGGATCAATGTGGGGGAGCATTACGCCGACCAAATCAGAACCATCGAAAGAAATACTCGTAGCTTCATGGGGCCGTTTCATGGGTGTGATTTTCTTTTGGAGGTTAGGATACGATTGAATTGTATGTACCGCGGATGCCGTCGGCAAGCCGTATATCATATGGATTACGCCGAGTGGAGGTGAATCTTGCCGTAAAGCAACTGTTTTGGTTGAGTTGTTCTTTCGGACGTGTTGCTTAAGACGACCGTCTTGTACCAACTCCTCAAGATGATCCTTCAACGCATAACAACTGTCGGTATCATGATTGTGGTCCTTATGATATTCGCACCGCCTATCTCGTCTCCTTGTGTCGGGAGGTCCCATCATTTTGGGTGGCCATTTGAAAAGTGGAATGTGTTGAACTTTAGACATAACCGTCCTGATCAGTTCTGACAACTCCGTATACTTCTTATCCGTGCGCCTTGTGCGCCTGCTATCCACTTGAAGTTGTTCATTAGCTCGGTGGGAACATTGGTCATTTGTTTGGCGCGCTCCGTGATGGTACAGAATTTATCGGCTGAATGATTTCAGATGGGGCCGTCTTGTTGGCCTTGTGCCCGGCTTTGACCCGCAAGGCGTCATTTTCTACTTTGCAATATTCTTCGACTTTCTTCATTAACGACCAGACTGTTATGGGAGGCCTTCTGGTCAAGGAGTTGAGGAGAGCACTATCAGGATGCAACCCCATTTTAAAGGCGGTGATGGCCATGAAGTCATTGCAGGCATTATCTACGAGATTAAAGCATTTCCAATAGCGCCGAATACGCTCGTAGGGTTTCCTCTGGTTAGATTTGCATTGCCTAGAGAGAATCAGCCTGCTTCGGCTAGATCTCATTGGTAATGAACTTTGCCCTGAAGGATTTTTGGAGTTTATAGAAGCTCTTAATCGATGTCGGCTCCAATTTATAATACCATCCGACGGCCAAAGGTCCCAAACTGCTGGGAAATATTCGACACATGAGGGCCTTGTCGTCCGCATGTAGCGTTATGGCTTGCTTATAATGACGGATGTGATCAGTGGGGTCCGTATTTCCATCGTATAGGGTGAACGATGGAGCTTTGAACTTTTTGGGTAGCACTGCCATTGCGATCCGTCACACAAAGAGGTCATGTTGATCCTCTTCGTCTGAACCATTTCTTCTTCACTTATTCCGTGCACGCGGACTCCCTTTGGAGGAACTGGAGGTTTTGACTCGTCTCTTCTTTTTGGATTCTAGGGATGATGAGTCAGAATCACTGTCACTATCTTGTCTCCGAACTCAAGGTCGTCGACCATCCTTTCTCAGAGGTCATTCCAGATCTTGGCGTGCGGCTTGTTGGGATTTTGCCACCTCCAAGGCCAAATCCTATCAAAGGCGCTCGTTCTCAGCGATCATGTTTTCCAACCTTTGTTCGTTTTGCTTTGCTTGATCCATAATCGTTTGCATTGTCATATGTGCTGATGCCGTGGGTGAGGTTTGGGCAACTGAATCGAAGTTCAAGGTCTTTCGTGCAGCAATGGTCTCAGGTCCAAGCATGTTGCTTGGATTGGTATCATCTTGTCGCGTAAGGTAATCAGCGACTATCGAAGGATCTTCCATTACGCCCGCCATGGATATGCTGGAATATTCCCACAGACGACGCCAATTGTGGAGAAGTGGTTTGAAAATATTCTTTGGATCTTATAGGACGCTCGTGATCCTCTTCTAGTCACCTAAAAATGAATGAACACTCCGGTCAGGGGTGCCGGAATTAGCACTCTGACGGATAAGTCAGTGTATACTCTGTTGGTTGCTTATATCTCAAGTTGAACTTGTTCTCACATACCTTTCTCTGACTAATACTCCTCTATTTATATTTTTTCTTTTGGGCCTGAGGGTCGGGTCCACCCTTAATCAATTGCACGTTTATTTATTTGGCTTTTGTTCGGCTGGCTGGAATGCCAATTAATCTATTCTGCCCTGCGATCGTATAGGATGAAGCCGAATACAATTCTGTCCTTGATTGCCCTCATATCGTTATTCAGCATTATTTCCCCCACAATATTCGGCTCCTACAATTGCCCCCCAAACATCCTATTAACGCCAGTTAGTCAGCATGTTTGGTTTCGAACGACATGTTTGATTTCGAATTTGAAAAGTCAAAGAATGAATGGCGGCTAATCTCAATCCAACGTATGTCAGAGCACACGCTTTTTATGCATTATTACATCTTCCTGCCTCTTCGTATGCTTTCTTCATTTAATGTTATTTGAAACTATGTTGTCCCTTCGCGTCTTTACCCAAGCCCGTCCAAATTTAATTCGAGCTTCTGAATTTTTGCCCGAACCCATATCGAATTTAAAAATATCTTGTCCAAACTCTAAAAAAATTTAGACTGGGTTCGAGTTGCTCGGGTTGAGCTTGCCTAAGTTGCACCCCTACGCCAAACCGATTCACATCCATCCGCCAATCTACTCAATCTACATCCCTTAATTCAACAGATGAATGCAGATTAATTTTTTCTAATTCGCCCATCCAATAGACAGATGACAGATTAGAGATTCTATAGCCGCAATTGAACCACGAACACCTCTACTTACAACCCAGTTGAACCGTTCGAATGGTATCCATGTGTAAGAGTGTAAAAATGGCTTGCAGCTCGTGAGCGGCCCGAAGTTCGCCCATGGCTCGAGGTGGCCCCAGCTAGTTTAGGCCTGTTTGGGCCCAAGTCCAAGCCCAGTCCGAGACCTTGTGTCAGGGCTTAAGCCATCATTTTGAAGCCCGGTCAAGCCCGTAAACCCCATCCTTGACCCAATCCATCGGTCTGCTTAAGGCCCACTCAAGGCCCAGCCCACCCAAGATTCAATGTCTTTTATAGTGGCAAATAATAAAATTTTATTAGAAAAAATAAAAAAATTATTTAAGCTCGCCCAAGCCTCGAGCCCAAGCCTACTTGCCCGAATGCCCTTTGGCCTAGGCCTAATTTTTTGGCCCGTGAGCCTGCCCGGTCTTGCCCAAATTTTGGCGGGAACCCGTAAGGCTCGACATGGACTAGGCTGGGTCAAATTTACATCCCTACATATATGCAGACTGGTGGGCATTGCAATGTAATTTCAAGAAGTTTGAGGGGAGGCGAGTGTAATTAGAGAGGCCCCTATCAAAATTCTTGCTTTTTCTTTATTGCGATCAAGAAAACACGTCGTAGAAGTGTCGAGAGAGAGAAAAAAACATATGAAAGAAAGGAGAGAGATCCATTATTGATGATGCTTTGTCTGCTCTACACAGATAGATAGATACACAACACAAGCATCAAACACCTCTCTCTCTCTCTCTCTCTCTAGATCATCATCATCATCATCAACTCCCCTGAATCCAATCTCATCATCCTTCCCTCTCATTCTTCACGATATCAGACCGATCACAATCCAAACAATACATACATATATAGAGAGAATTATTATCTCTCTTGATTGATTGAATCGTCGATCAATCGATTGATTAATCAATTTGATTGAGTGAGCAGCCATGGAAGTAAGGCACAATCCGACGACTGATAACTCGTCAGTCACTCTGCGACAGCAGCCATCGCCGTCGAAACAGCCTAAACCTTCCCCGAACCCCGTCGACACCACTTCCGTCTCCCAGAGGTCTTCTCTCTTTTCTTTCCATTTTCGTATTCTGTTTGGTTGCCGAGAAATCGTACGAAAAGAAAAGAAAAAAATGAAAGAATTGGAATCTTTTTAAAGAGTTTTCCTTTTGTCGGGAGCGAATAAAGCATCATCTTTGGATTTCAAAATTCTGTTTTTCTTTTATTTTGCTCGTTGCATATTCTTATTACTATTATTTATTTTGTTCTCAGGCTTCAGAAAGAGTTGATGTCTTTAATGGTAAGTTATCTATTTTCTTTACTGCATGTCTATTTATGAGTGTATTTTTGTAATTGTGATTGTAATCTTGTTTATGCATTTTTCATCTGTCATGTATTTTACAGTAAGAAACTAGAAATGAGATGTGCTTGCTTGTTTGATGGTAATTTGTATTGCTTGACTTAGAGGTTTACTTTTTCTATAGTTGCAACTAACATGTTTGATCATCTCTTTTAGCCTAAATATTCATTGATTTGATTGTTGTTTTCAAGTACACGGGCAGATTCTGGGAGTTATGCCTTCTGTTCATGCCTGTTTATTGGGAAAATTTTCATTAAGTCCTACTTTTCTTACAGAATTCCCATTCAGTTCTATTAACAAATCAATTACAAAATAGGGCTTAGCGGAAGTTTTCTAGAAAAAGTAGAAATTTTCCCTAGTTTATTTGATCATCGTCATCATTCTTTATATACATTACTATGTTGTCTACTGCTCTCTTGGATTGAAATTTTGAAGGTGTCTTTTTGTGCCCAAATTGCTGCTGCATTAATGAAGGACAATAGCATTAGGTTTCATATACGTGTTTTTCTTCGTTTTCTTGAATTTTTTCTTGAACACCTTTTTGAGATGATGCACATTATTTTACATGACGTGTGACCGGATGAAGGTTATATCTAGTGGTGAAGCCACATGCACTCAGGAGGGGCAGCTGCCCCCTCTCAAGTTTATAGAAACTACATTTTTACTTAACAAAAAAAATTCGTTCTTTAGGGCAACTTTGATAGGTTATTTTAACCAGCCAAATAGTTGGCATAAGGTGTTATGATCAAAGCTTCTCTGAAGCTAATTTCTTTTCTTGCATACTCAATCTTGCTCTTTTTTTTTTGGGTACATCGGAATGGTAAAAACAACGACAGGGCCTAAGCCCTTTCCCTAGATAGACCTATCATGTTTGCAAATAGCAAACTTCTAATTTCTGCTGGTGATTCATTCACAACCACCATTTCTTCTGGTTGATCTGCTCCCAATTTAGCCAATGCATCAGCACATAGGTTCCCTTCCTTCAAGATGTGTTGCACAGTGCACTCACAGCCCTTGAGTAGGATCTTTGCATCTTTCACCAGGTTTTTTGAATGGGAAGTTATCACCTAGTTCTTCTTCGATCGGTTGCACTGCCTGTGCTGCATCAGTTCCAATGATCACTTTGTTCATCCCTATTTGTAAAATGACAGTAAGTCCCTTGTACGGGCCCCACAGTTCAGCTTCTAGGCTTGTGACACTCTGCCATTTACCATAGAATCCGCACACACAAGCTCCTCTTCAATCTCTAAGCAGTCCTCCAAATCCTCCTTCACCTCCAACTCTCCTGCAGCCATCAATGTTGAGTTTAATCCTACTTGCAAGTGGCAAAACCCTATTAATAAGTCTAAAGGAGGGTCTGGGGCTAGTTATTGAGTTATTGAAAGCCTGGTGGATCTCTCTATTGAAAGCCTAGTGGATCTCTCAATCTTGCTCTATCCTTTGATGGTGGTCTCACCTCTTGTCATAGTACCTATTTTAGCAAAGAGATCATCAATGGTGTTTACCAAATTGATTACTTAGTGAATCATTGTGAGGGTGTGTGTTAGTGCAGCTGAGAGAAGGGCAAGGTGAGAAATGGGGAAATCTCTAAATGAGTTCCTGTGAGTTTCATTTAGTTCAGTAATTTATAAATTATTATATTGGCTATTTAAAATTTTGAAGATGTCTATTTGTGTACAAATTGCTACATCCAAGGACAATGGCATTTGGTTTTATATACCTTTTTTGTAGAATTTTTTGTTTCACTTGATGAAGACCTTTTGAGACGATGGTACATTATTTTACATGGTGTGTGACCACATGAAGTTTATAACTCAAAGTAGAGATGCAAACATCAATGGTTTCTGACATGAATTGATTTCTTTTCAATATTCAAACTCAGTTGAATTTCAGTTCTAATTTTGCCCGCCTATCTTTCTTCTAATGTCAAAGAGCTTAGGAAAGTCGGTATAAGGTTGCCTTGTATGGTGGGCTTACGGAAACAAAAGCTTGTAGCTTTAGGATTCTAAAAGGTATAGGAGTTGTAGAATGCAAATAGAAGGATTGGATTTATCTTGGTTTTCTTAGTGGTTTGCCGTTGGATTTTGAGAAACTAATTGCTGGAGTTCTTGGGACAATAACTGTGTTGTGAATTTTCAGTTGTTAAATAAATTCAAACACAGGTAAAGGGAGTGTATGAGATACATTAGGACCTGATAGGCCAAAATTTTTGAAGCTAAAATTGGTTTCGAGGCTCTGAAATCTGAACAATAATGCCTGAATGGTATCTCGATGATTCAGTTTTTATTTTTTTTCCCCTTGTTTGTAAGTATGGTATCCTTGCTGTTTTTTGAGAAGTAGAAAGGGGAAAAGAGAGAGAGAGAAAAGAAAAAAAAAAACTCTCGGATTCTTGTGAGTTCAACTCTATTAGTCGGAATGATTGTATAGATATTGGTAGGCTCTAAATGTCTCCTATTTGCACTAGGACTAAGTCTTTGAAATAGGAAATTAAGAAACTCTGGCCAATAAAACTATTCTAGCCGCTAGGCATATTAAAAACTTAATGCAATCTCAATTTCATAACTTGACCTATTGTATGTCCCCTAGAGCCATACTGGAGTGCATCCCCAGCAAATGTTAATAAAGGGTAAATAAAATCTCCCAGCAGCAACTAACCTAGAAAACAAAAATAGTATCAGCCCGTCCCAGCAGCAACTAAGCTAGAAAACAAAAATAATATCAGCCGGTCTCATAATTCTAAAAGAAGTTTATTGGCTTCAACTAGTCTTAAAATTTAATCAAGACCCCAATAGATGAGATCCTGGGTGCTGCCCATGTGATATTCCCAATTTTATCCTTCTTCTAACTTGCAAGCTTGACGTTACCCTCTGCCCTCCTTGGAATGCAAGTTGCAGTTTGTGAGGTGCTTTTGATTCTGGCCCTCCCTGGACTATGCATCTTGGAGTACTGAGCTCCTCTTCATTCATAGAGGCATGTATGGAAGATTTTCAAATTTTCATAGACATATATAAATGCATGTGTGTGTGTGTGTAACTTCACGTTTAATAATCTGGTACTGCATGAATAGCAATGGTCATGGTCACTTGCAAAAAACTATAAGATGGAAACTTTTGGTGTTTATTGGCAGGAATTATCTCAACCAATAATCTTCTACTGTGTCTTTGGAAGAGGGAAATAAATAGCACTGGGTTATTTTGTTTAAGTACTTTTTTTTTTTAAATGGATTTAGTAAATTACCTTCTTATTAGTCCACTGTGTTGAACCTATTAGAAGATTTTCTAGTAAATCTACACTGTGGGGGTATGAAGCATTAATGGAATGCCTGTAGCAATGATTGACATACCTCCAACTTATTAACGTCTGTAAGACCTTATGCAATAGCTCTGGTCTGTAATGCATCACTGTTGAAATTATTTGTAAGACTAGGAGATTGAAGAGTTTGCGGGACTTTCATAAAGGTTGTATGATATGACAAACATTGGTGAGAACCGAGGGGTGGGACCATAGGATGCGTTGGGGTGGAAGGCATCCAAGTCATGGCATTTTGAGGTGAAATCCTTTTATCCCTTGGATAGGGATTTGGGCTACTGAGGCCCTCTTTTATGGAGCCCCTCTTGATCAATTTTTGGATTTGAGAGTCTAGGGTAGTATTCATGTGCATATGTGTAGAGCCTTTTTCCTCTCAGCTCTTGCTTCCTGTGTATATGGGTGGCGTCCCCTCTTTGAATGCTTTTTTCTATAGATTTTACTAAGTGGAAAAAATATATTTTTTCTTCTTCTTTGCATAGCAGGTTATGAAATAACAACCTTACTGTCATCAATTTGTCTAAATTTTTAGGCAGTACAATTGTTCAACTTCTTCTCATATATAGCATGGATCTTGTTTTCAGTTTCATTCTTTGTGTATTCAACAACAATACTGTTTGTATCTGCAGATGAGCAGTGGAGACCTTGGAGTGTCAGCTTTTCCTGAAGGTGAGAGCATATTTGCCTGGATTGGCACAATAGAGGGTGGGAAAGGAACTATTTATGAGGGTTTATCTTACAAACTCTCTTTGCGTTTTCCCCTGGACTACCCTTTCAAGCCACCCCAAGTGAAGTTTGAAACAATGTGCTTCCATCCAAATGTCGATCAATTTGGAAATATTTGTCTTGACATCCTTCAGGTATATCAATCTACCTACTTTAGCGGTCTTAGTGGACTTTGTGCTAAACTAGAAGGCCCAACTCCAAAACATGGAAGAAGAAAATCTGCCTTTAATTTTTACAGAATATTAATCAGAAAATCTTCTGAATATGATATGCTAAATTTAATTCTGTTGGATGAAAAAAGTAACTGAATATGGTTAGAAATCGAATTGCATCTCGATATCTTCATAATTTTGTTCAAATTAATAACAGTTTAACTGGTGCCGTTTCAATCCCTACTTGTATATCAAAAAAGCTGATGATTACTCTATTTAATCACGCATCACTGAATTACCTCCTTTTCATATATAATATTTTGTTAATAGAGTTCAATGCAATTTTCTTCCTGTTTATCAGGACAAATGGTCTTCAGCTTATGATTGCAGAACTATCCTTTTGTCCATCCAAAGTCTTTTGGGAGGTCTGCTCACTTTTCCATGTTGTTTGAGATTTCTCTTATAATTTTTTATTTGTTTGTTTGCCTAACTGTGAGGTCAAACATGCAGAGCCCAACACCGAGAGTCCTCTCAACAGCTATGCGGCAACACTATGGAAAAACAAGGAAGGTTAGGGTTCATTTCTTCTCTTCATATCCCAATCTCTTTCTCACCATCTCTTCTTTATTTATTTTGATACATAAGTTAAGGATAATTGAACTTGAGTCTCTTTATTGGGGTAATGCAGTCTAAGCCGCTGGGGTGTTTCCTACGAGACAAATTGTTTGCCAGCCTTTTTGTCTCCATTTTATCTATTTTTGTTTAATGTGATGTGACCTTCGATGTTAAATGTTATTTCTGATTTTTAATGATCCATAATTTGAAAAAGCAGCTGTCAATTCTTGCATAATGTTCCAGTGTGTTGTTTAATGTGATGAGAACTTTATTTCACCTTCACCTTTAGCGTTAAATTTTATTTATGGTTTTTGATGATCTGTAATTTGAGAAAGCAGCTGTCAATTCTTGTATTATGTTTCAGTGTGTGGAACACAAGTTGTTCCATTGGAATGGGAACCGAGAACATGGTATGGGTACATGTGCTAAAATGACGTACTATAGGATACGACTTGTACAGTTTAGTTACTTATAAAGCAATTTTATTTAAACAATTTGACATCCAATAAGATATACTTGTGTACATTTCAAATCTATCATTTAAGAGCACATTTCTAGGAGTATTATGACTCCTTTTTCTTATTTTCTTTTACTTTTTAAAATTTTATCTTGCTAAAACTCCACTCTACTTAGATTTTAGTTTATTATGTTCCATTTTTTTCATCCTAAGGAAATTATTAGGAAAAAAGATTTGCGATCATGTCGGATTGCTAAACTCACCATTAGTGGAAATATATGCACTTTTTGGCGGTCTTTTTTCGTCTACGACATGTTTGTTTTATTTATGAGGAATTTCGATACAGTTTCGTTCTTCTTTAGTCGAAATCTTGCTCAACATTGTGTTGAAGTGTTTTGACATCATAAAAAGTGGCTGCTCTAACTAATCTAAAAGAGCCATTTTGGTATTTTCTTGCAGACTACAGGAAAATGGTACACAAACAGTATTTTTCTGGCGAAGCAATGGAAAGCTGATTGGTAGAATTTTATCACAAATAGAAAAGTGGCTATCATATTGCTTATGAAGACGACGACTCTGTAGAGCTCTTGAAAAAGAGTTTGATTTACTGGGAAAGTGGAAGGTATAGATTTGTTCCTTGAATATCGCTTGAAACATTGAATTTGTAATTAGCATCAATTTGTAAATCTGCAGACCTGGAAAAAAAAACCCGGGTAGAATAAAGTTGTTTGAACGGTGGAGTCTACAGGAGTTGTAAATTTGCTTCTATCGGTGGAAAGTGGCTTATTTTTCAAGTCTGCTTTGACAACTTAACTGTTTTTTTGTGATGAAATTGAGAACTTAATTCAGGTATTGGTACTTTTACTGCTAAAAGTTGTTTAACCTGGGTAAGAGAGTCCATTCTCTGAAATAGAGCATAGTCTCTCCATAGTGGAAGGTTCGAAATTCAATCAGAACAATCTATTGCCTTGATGAAATCAGTATTAAGGTTGTGATGTATGTAGAATCCGAAAAGCAGCTTTAAGTGAATATCTCGGCTTGTCGGTAAAAATGGCCTTGGAATTGGAATAGTTTTGTGAGAACTGCAAGTGAGGAGAAAGAAGTGAAAATAATTGTAAAAACATAAACTAAGGCCTCGTTTGGGAACCAATTCATTTAGTCAAAAAGTTAAAAAGTTACTAAAAAGGCCAAAAAGTGAACAACCCATACCAAAAAATCAAAGATTTTCTTTTCTCTCTACTTTTTGCATATCTTTTCGTAAAAAGTCAAAAAATATTCCAAATATACTAGTTTTTTTTAGCTCACATTTTAGCCAAATAGTCAAAAAGTTACTAAATTAGCCTGTTCCCAAACGAGGCCTAAATGTTTCCCTTGCATAGGAGCACAAATTCACTTGCACTTTTATATTTTTGCAATTATTTTTACTTTTTTCTCACTGATTTGCAAATTCTTCCAATATTTTTCTTGTGTAGCTAAAAGCATTGTTTTTTTCCTCATTGAAGTTGAGAGATGAGTTTGAATACCAAAAACAACAGAAAAAACAAGGGGGGAAAATGAAAATGAATAAATGAGATGAGTTCGAGGGTCCACTGTATATGTGCTAAAAGTAGCTTAACTTGAAAAAGAAAAAGGGTAAAATTTCCCCCAATGGTTTGGTCTCGGGCATTTCACTCCCCTTTGGTTTTAAAACAAACAGCCCCTTTGTAGTTTTAATCATTTTTTACTTAACCTCCCTGGCATTACTTATTTCTATCAAAATTGATAGAATTGATGGAAGATTTAAAAAGGAATTTGAAAAGAAAAAAAAAACTGTGTAAAATTAGATAAAACGTAAGTATATTTTATTCATATTTTACTTATATTTTCTTTTTTCTTTTGTAAATTTCTTCCTATATAGCATAACTAAATACAGCGTAAGAGTTGAAATAAAAAACCAAAAAGTCAAATTCTAATTCAATTGTAAAAGGTCAAATTTGCCCCTTCATTCTTTTCATCTTGTTCTTATTTCAAAACCCTAACCCCAATGTACCCATCAATAAATTGCTCTTGCTAGTAAAAAATTAAAAGTTAGAAAATTAAAAAATTAAAAATTAAAAATAAGAAGTTGAAGATCACAAATTGTCCTGGGGTATATGTATGTATGGTGATGGCAACCATTTATGATCGGAATAACCTTATCTTCATCAATTACCCCCAATTCCTAAAAACCCTAACTTTAATTCTAAATTTTCATCCTTCTTGCTAGGCCCTCGCTGCCCATCATCGCCACTGCCTTCTTTAGTCCCCACCCAACGTCACCAACCCATCCACGGCCACTGTTGCCTTTTCTATTTAGAAGCACGATCATCATTCTCACAGAGGCAGCGGATATACCGATCCGCCCAAACCGACCAAACCGAATCGATTCGCCGCATTTTGGACGGATGCGTGATGACGAGCAGACGGTTGGGGATTGATTTTTTCCAATCCGCCTAGTTGTAACACTTGCATCCTTTAAATCCATTGGAGAGGGTATTTAATTCCCTTATTTTCATTTTTGGGAGTCTTTGGAGTTGTTGAATGTTGGTTTTGGAAGAGTATGATCCGATTTAAACTCGTTGGGTTTGTTTGTTTGTGCATGTTCTTGTCAAAAAGTTGTTTGGGGACTTAGAAATTCTATTCTGGAGTCAACACCAGCCTTCCTAAGGGTCGACCCTTATCTATTGGTGAAGTTTCTGGAAGTGTTACTGGAATATAGGGTCGACACTAGCCTTGGTGGTGTGGACACCTGCCTCTTGTTGCTGTCCACAAGGGTCGACACTAGTCTTGGAAGGGTCGACCTTTGTATATTGCAAAATCTGTGTGTTGGTTGCTGGAAAATAAGGTCGACCCTTCCTGTTTAAGGGTCGACACCTTGCATGTTGCACAGATTGCTTTTCTTCCTGGAGAGTCGACGCCTCTGCCCGAAGGGTCGACCCTTGTGTGTAATTTTCAGTTTTTTGGGCTAGTTTAGGCCCTACTTTTGAGGGGTTTTGGGCCTATTATTTTATTGACCTTAGGGCTATTTCTCTACTACTATAAATAGGCTCCAAACATATTTCATTTCACTTTTTCTCCTCTTTCCTCTCTTTCAAACCGTGAGTTCTCTTCTCTCTTTCTAAAACTCAAACTTTTTCACTTAAATCTCTAGATCTACTCACATGGAGTGATCTTTTCACCATCTTTTCACCATGGTCCTTTGAGAAAAAGTGTAGATCTCGTCGAGGGCTTTCTTTTGGTCCAATTGGTTTGTGGTTTCGTCGCCATTGATTTTTGGGTCGTCATCTCTTGGCTTCAAGAGGTAAGGGTTTCTAGTTCTCTTTCAATACCCTCGTTTATAGATAGAATTGTGGTATTTTCTTTATATAAACACAAAAGTTTATATTTTTATGCATATCGTGACGAATCATGAGATTCAGGGTTAGGGTTTGAAGGGAGTTGGATTAACTTGTTGGGTTAAGATCTTGGGTCATGAGTTTGGGTGTAAAAGTAATAGAAGGGTTGGAATAAAATGTGTCTTGTGAAAAGTTTTAACTTCTCTTAAAAACTCTAGTTTGGCTCATGAAGATGGTTAATGGTTTTGCTTCAATTGATAGTAGAATCATGAAACTGAAGTGTTAAATTATACATGTACAAGTTTAATTTTAAAGAGTTTGCAAATTTATGTAAAAGTTGCGATTGAACCCTCAATGTTGATGTTTTAAATTATGTTATAATATAAAACAAAACTTGGGGGAAAAGAAATTATTAATGGTATGGATGATATGAGCTTTGTGTTGAAATAGTTGTGTTGAATTTTTTGTGTGTTATGTGAATTGTATTGGGTTATGTTGTGTTGTGTTGAGTTGAGTTGGGTTATGTTGTGTTGAGTTGTGTTGGGTTATGTTGTGGTTGGTACTTGCGCGGGGAATTGAAAAATGGTTTTTTGGTGCCCACGATCGTCCGTATCATACCCGGTAAATGTGGGGGATGGTTTTAAAAATTGAAAAATGATTTTTTGACGTATAATAGCCGGTAAATGTGGGGGTGGTTTGAATTCAAGGTGCCCGATTGCCCTATCTAGGTTTATCACTTGATGAATGTGGGGAAAATGTTTTTGGGTGCCCACGTCCTGCCGTATAATAGCCGGCAAATGTGGGGGATGGTTTTAAAAAGTTGAAAATGGTTTCGGAACACATATACGGTTTTTGAGAAAATGATTTTGAGAGTTCACTTCCCACCGTATAATAGCTGGCAAAAGGTGGAATGTGCTATGAATTGGGTGCCCACTATCCCGCCATATCAAGCCGGCAAAAAGTGGAATGTGTTATGAAGTGTGTTGAGTTCAGTTATGATATATGTGACTTGTGATGAATTTGTGAAAATACCATTTGATGTGTAAATTGATATGGAATGGGAATACATATAGAAATTATTTGAAAAGAATGGATAATTAAATGGTAATTGGATAAGGGATTGGTGATAAAGAACTCACTGGGTTGTTTGTATCTATAAGGAAAGATTAAGAGTTTTACTTTATGATTAATTGAGAAATTGAATTAAAAAAAGGGTTTATTGTCCGTGTGATGTGTTGAGTTATAGTTGATAATGCAAATGTGGATGTGATGTAATTGTTTTTGGATTTCAACGTTAAAGAGTTATAGCAATAAAGGATGGACATGTGGGAATGAAGTGTATGAGGGTTGTTTTGAATATTAAGGGAATATGAATTTGAGGTTATGGAGTTTTAATAAATGTAACTAGTAAAAGGAGAGAATGGGAATAAAAAGAGGAATGTTAAGATGGGAATTTAATAAGGAATATTTTGGAATGGGTTAATAAATATAAAATTATGTGATTCCTTAAACATGTTTTCAAAAAGGACTTATGGTTTTCTAATGAAAATGGATAGTTTTTTATGGTCGAAGGTTTTCCTTAAATGTTCAAATAAACTTTGAGAAAAAGATACTCTACATATGATATTTTTAAATTACAAAACGTCATCTACTATATGGTATCACCTTGTATGCATGATCATTTCTATCTATAGGATGGTTATTGTTTTAGAACTATGAGATTCCTACTAGGCAATTGTGCTCACCCCTTATTGTTTCTTTTTTTTTTATAGGAAGAGAATTCATATTGATTGGTTGAAGGATTAGGAAGTTCATGTATATCTTGTGTGTAACCTCATTGTACTTTGATGTTTGTAATTATTTATTTGTAACTCCGTAGCGGGAGCTTGACATGTATTATATTTATTGTTGTATTCATCATGAGAGAGATTATGTACTATTATGTTTCTATTACTTAAGGGTAATATATATTTTTAATTTAAAAAAAAAATAGACCTAAATTTCAGGCTCTTGGTAATGTTTTCGAGTAAATAAAATTTGGGGCGCGACACTAGTTTTGGACGGATGGCGGATTTGAGATTTTTTTGGCCGTAATTGAACCGCTAAACTGCGAGCGTCTCTAATAATTTATAAAACTTTGTTTTTTGAATTTGTTTAGATATTCTATTTGTGTTTTCAATTGAAAAAGAGTTTAAATATTATGTTGAATATATTCTGTTGAAAATGTTGAAAAAGAGCTTTCAACGTGAATATATTTTTTGAATTGAAAAAAAAATAAATGCGTTATTTATCTATATTTTTTTGTTTTTAAATTTAACTCTAAAAATAAAAAATATGATATATGTTGGTTGGTTTTTGTTTTCAGAAACAGATATAGATATAATAATATAGAGGCATACAATCTCCACTATTACTCTGTTCATGATTTTGGTGGTTTAAATTGATTTTATATTTTAAGAACCACAGATTATAATACATTATGCGGATGTGGCATACTGTGATTGTAATATATGGATGGGG